GCTGGTTTTCGTGTCTTGGGGGCTTTCTTTTAAGGGCTTGCAGTCCTCCAGTGCCGGCTTCAATCTGCACATTTTGCTTCTTGATTCAAGGTCCAAATCAAATTCCTTAAAATGTGTCTTCCAGGGTTGTTATTTTTTGAGGGGGGCGGTCTGAAGTGGGGAATTTGCAAACAGATTCGTGTCGTTTGTTAATTGCAAACCCCTGTTGTTCGTGCAAGAGCTTGGGATAAACGTCCACAAAGAGAGAGAGAGAGAGAGAGAGAGAGCAGTTCGAAAATTCAGAAAGTCTGCAAGAGGGTTGCATGGCTGCGGGGGACTTCTGGCTCTGCTCTGAACGTGTGAACTCGTTTCTCTTTAATTATCATGCCTGGTCTGGAAGGCTAAGCCCTTAGACATGCAAAGCGCCCAGTGCAGTGAAAAGGAGAGAGGGTGGTTTTTTCCCTTTATTAGCCTGGATAAACTAAGCCGAAAAGACTGAGGCACTTTGGCGAGGAAGGGGTGCGAAAATGTTGCTCAAGCAGCAGTAACACAGACTAACTCAGGAATATTCGTTAGCGGATATAATCACCTCAAAAAGCGTGTGGGAGGATACGTGTGTGTGTGTCTGTGTGTGTATAGGAAACACACCGCTTGCGCGCACGCCCTCCTGTCTAGGCGCGCATTGCCCTCCTGTCTAGGCGCGCATTGCCCTCCTGTCTAGGCGCGCATTGCCCTCTCGTCTAGGCGCGCATGCATCCATTCTAGACTGTGATGGAGGTTGCGAATATGGGACAATATACCTCAAAACTTGCCCCCTCCCCACCTTACAAGACCTGGCCTCCCAAAGCCGCAGAGCCAGCAGATCTATGCTCAAGCAACACGCCTCTTTGTTGGTACGTTGCAAAGACACTGAGCCCGGTCCGAACCGGGCCACAACCCTTTCTAGACATTCTCCGTTTCCTTCCCGGGGTTTTTTTTAAGGCTTGTTGCAATGCGATCAAACAAATACAAAAGCGGAAGCGCGGCGATTATTGGCTAGCGCGCGGGTTGGATTTTTAAAACAATCAATCAATACCCGGAGGAAGAAATCATTGCATCACCCCAGAACAGAGCCAGCGATGCTTTACAGCCAAAGCAGCACGAGGGTGGGTTTGAAGCCACCCAAAGCGCCTAGCTCCACGTCTGAATCGCGTCGCTTTGTTTCCCAAATGGAAGCAAAAGGAGGGTTGTTTTATTAGCGGTCCGCGGTGTTCCCCTGCAGCTGGAAGGGATGGGGACAGGGGGGACCATTCCTCCTTGACACGCTTGTGTAAGTGGCTGGCGGCTCTTCTCAAACCCCGCCGGGGTAGACTCAGGAAAAATCTCAGCCTGGCTGCGACGTCACGCTGGGAAACTTGAGGGTTCATTTTGGGGAGGATGGGGGCTTAGTGGGGTTTTGAAGGTGGGGCCCTTCCCTCTCCCTCTGCATAATTGGCGCTTCAGTTTGGGAACAGAGCACAGACGCTCTCTTTGGGTTTGCATTGAAATCACTCCAAGAACTCCGCAGGCGTGGAGGTGGGTTAAAATAGGCTTGACCGGCTGATCAATCCAAAAAAAGGGAGGTGGGTTGGGGTGGCGGGGAGGGGGG